GTCCTTTAGGAAAAAGGAAAAAACTTTTTTAAAATACAGATGTGAGCATGTATAATAATCGTGCAGAGATTTAGTTGGACACTGCCTTGGAATGCTATGATTGCTTTCTATGGAGGATTAATTCAGTTCTTTCTTTGGCACTGAGATTATGCCCACAATATACTTTAACCTTTCAAAAATAAGTGCTTTATTTAAATTCAAAGTTTTACTTGGGAGAATAATTAAATTATATTTATTTTATCACTCAAAACTGTAAAAATATAAAAAGGATTCATTAATGTAACTGAAGAAGTACCACATTGTACATTTTCTTCCAGAGTTGCAAAAGGAGGAGGAGGAGGAAGAGGAGAAGGAGGAGGGGGAGGAGAAGAAGGCAACCTTTAAATATATTTTGGAGGTGAAAGTCTGCCTTCTGCACTAAGTTTTCAGGATGAAATAGGTTTAAATTGTTCCCAGTTCTATCAAAGAATGTTCTTAAATACATATATATTTTTTAAAAATCCAATCATAAATTCAGATTCATTTAATTATCCCCAAAATAGCAAGAAAAAAATGGGTTTGTTACTAGAGGACACCATCATTCTGAGCTGAGTCAAGGTTACTGAAATGTGATCTACCTTATCTATAATAATAAAAGCTTAATATGCTAATTAGACCAGATAGCCAAACTACCTTCCAGACGAAGCCAGGGCTGCAAGGAACAAGCCCCTTGCACAAATTTCATGCATCGGGCCTCTAGTTATATATAAAAATCTTTCATGATTGTTCCTATATAGGGACATTCAAGAAATGGAGAAAGAACTTTAAATTCTGATGGAGGCAAGGAAGATATAAAACAGTTATTTGAGGGTTTTTTGTGTGTGTGTGTATGTGTGTTTTGTTGTTGTTAATCCTCACCCGAGGATATTTTTTCCATAGATTTTTAGAAAAAGTGAAAGGGAGGGCGGAAGGAAGAGGGAGAGAGAGAGATCTATGTGAGAGAGACACATTGGTTGCCTCCCACACACACCTTGACCTGCAACCCAGGTACATACCCTTGACTAAGAATTGAACCAGAGACCCTTTGGTGTGTGGGCTGACGCTCTCATCACTGAGCATTGCTGGTCAGGGCTATTTGAGTATTTCTAATGCCTTCTCGCTTTAATCTGAGATTTGTCTATATCTTTGGGTAAGATTATGAAACCAATTCCAATCACTTCTCAAAATACATGTTCAACAATAGAGAACTTCCAAAAAAAAATATATAAGAACTGAAAGGAAAAGCTAACTATATACTAAATACTTGCTCCATAACAAAAATATTCCCTTTACTAATGTAGTCACATGAGTTCAATATTTTGTTAAATTGTCCTATAATCTTCATTTCCAAAACAAACCATACCAATACTAAACAAGACAGTATAAATGAACAAGGACTTGAATAGTTCTCCAAGATGATATACAAATGGCCAATAAGCACATAAAAAGATGCTCAACATCATTAGCTATAGGGAAATGCGAATCAAAATCACAGAGATACTGCATCACACCCTCTTGAATGGCTTTTTTATTTAGCATGTTAGGTTGGGTTTTTATTTATTTATTTCAGACAGAGGAAGGGAGAGGAAGAGAGAGATAGAAACATCATTACATCAATTAGCTGCTTCCTGCACATCCCCTACTGAGGAGCAAGCCAAAAACTTGGGCATGTGCCCTGACAGGGAATCAAATGGGCAACCTCCCACTGAGGTACATGGATGATGCTCAACCAACAGCCACACCGGCCAGGCTGACTTTTTTTTTTTTTAATAAAAGTAAGTGTTGGTGAGGATATGGAGAAATTGGAACACTGGAGCATTGCTGATGGTAATGTAAAATTATTCAGGTGCTGTTAAAAAACAATTAGGCACTCCTCAAAATGTTAAACAGAATTACCATATGACCCAGCAATTCCACTCTTAGCTATATGTCCAAAATAATTGGGAAAAAAAAGAGAAAATCAAACAAATATTTGAACACTAATGTTTATAGCATCATTAATCACAATAGTGAAAACAATCCAAATGTCCATCAACTGATGAAGAATAAACAAAATGTGCTATACACAGATAGTGGAATATTATTCAACCATAAAAAGGAATGAAGTTCTGACACATGCATGAGCCTTGATATTATGCAAATGAAATAAGACAGTCACAAAAGGACAAATATTGTTTGATTCCACTTATATGAGGTACCTAGAATAGGCAAGTTCATAGTGACTAGAGGTTACCAGGGGTTAGGGATAGAGGAATTGGGGAATTATTGTTTATTGGCTACATAGTTCCTGCTTGGGATAATAAAAAAAATTTATGGATGCCCAGTCAGTATGGCTCCATGATTGAGCATTGACCCATGAACCAGGAGATCATAGTTAGATTCTGAGTCAGGACACATGCCAGGGTTTCCTGCTCCATCCCCAGTAAGGGGGCGTGCAGGAGGTAGCCGATCAATGACTCTTTCTCATCATTGATGTTTCTATCTCTTTCACCCTCTTCCTTCCTCTCTCTGAAATGAAGAAAAATATATTTTTAAATTTTTATGGAAATAGTGGTAATAGTTGCACAACATTGTGAATGCACTAAGTGCCAATGAATTGTATACTTGAAAAGGGTTACAATGGTAAATCATATGTATATCTTATTACAGTAAAAATACATTAAAAGATTCATAGTTTTTCAAACTTTTGTGGGTACTATGAGAGAGAGAGAGAGAGAGAGAGAGAGAGAGAGAGAGAGAGAGAGAGAGAGAGAGGCAGGCAGAGAGAACAGTAATTTCTCAATGCAAGGAGGAGAAATGAGTTTCACATCAGTAATTTAAAGGGTGAGGTAGGAAAAGCCAGGTCACCTGGTCCACTTTCTAAAATCAAAACTGAGTAGAGATCCAAGCTAACGATCAGGTCAACATGAGCCAGTGAAACGTGCCCCCTTTTCTATTTTTATTTTGTGCCTGAGTTAAAAGAACATCTTCCACTTAACTGCTTCTCAAGTTTTTTGGTTTTTTGGTTGTTTTTTCTTAATTTATTTCTTATTTATTGATTTTTTTTAAGAGAGAGAGAGAAAGAAACAAGAGAGACTGATTTGTTATTCCACTCTTTTATGCATTAATTGATTGGTTCTTTTTAAATTTTGTTATTTTTATTGATTTCAGAGAGGAAGGGAGAGCGAGAGATAGAAACAGCAATGATGGGAATCATTGATCAGCGGCCTCCTGCACGCCCTCTACTGGAGATCCAGCACGCAACCCGGCATGTGCCCTTGACTGGAATCGAACCTGGGACCCTTTAGTCTCCAGGCTGACGCTCTATCCACTGAGCCAAACCGGCCAGGACATTTAGTTGGTTCTTGCGTGTGCCCTGACCAGGGATTGAACCCGCAACCCTGGCGTATGGGGTCCGTGTTCTAACCAAGTTGAGCGATCCGGCCAGTGTTCGAGTTTTCGTTTTAAATATAAACACCCTAAAAGGTGCTTACTGTGTTTACTTTTATCATCTTCAATATTTCAACGCACACACATTTTTTTCAGCATTGTCTCGGAACAAAAACTTGTTTTTCTCTGAGATACCACATCTCTAAATGGGCCTGCCAATGGCTTGCCCGTGGCATATAGAAATGAACTTTGTTCAAAAGTTAACACCAAAATGCCTTCACCCCTCGCTTCCTGGGACCTAGGACAGAGGGCGGTTCTCCCTCGGGAGTTTCCCAACAACACCCAATTCCATAGGAGTTTTCTCACCCTCTGTCAACGGGCACAGCTCTATTATTCTCCGGGCGGCTCCAAAGGATTCTGGGAGTTGGGGGAGGGGGCTCAGGGACAAAAAATCAAATGTTGGCACAAGACAGGTTTATGATTATCAGCCAGTTGCTGATCGACTTCTCAAACCTTTCGACCAGTTCCCTCACTTGTCTCACCCGGTAAGCTCGCGTTCTTTCCCTTCCACGCCCCGCCCCTCAACTACGCTATTAGCCAATCATCGGGCTGGTGCTTGCCCGTCCGGGCCAATCCCGAACCCGTTTACTCTGAGCGGGAAAAGCTCAGAAGCTGCGAGAGAACGAGGTCGGCTAACCGCCCGCTCTCAGCCCTGTCTCTGGGGGGTGGAAGGTAACGGGCCCTAGAGGCAGTTGCCCATTGGCTAGGAAGCGGGCCAATGAGGGGGTGCAAAGCGGGGGGCGGGTCTCACAGAAGGGGGCGGGCCGGTGCCGGGTCGCGAGCCGGGGGTCGGCAATATAACGGCCTCTCCCCCCCCACTCCCTCCTTCCCCGCTCCGACCCCCCCCACCCACGGACCCGCTCCAGGCAGCGCCGGGGGCGGCGGCGGCGGCAGCGGCGGGGTGCGGGCTGAGGGAGCCGGGCCTCGACGCCCCCCCTCACCCCGGTGCCCCAGGAGCTGTACCGAGTCCCAAAGGGGCTGGGGGTCCCATGGAGGTGAGAGGCGGACACCCCTGGCAGCTCCCTCACCCTCCAGGCCTAAGGGAGGGACTTGAGGTAACCGGTGGGGATGGTCAGGGCCTGGGTGGCGACCGGACTTGGAGGATGGCGACGGTGAGAAGAGGCTGAGGAGAGGGCGCGTCCATAGACGCTGTTCTCTGAGGAGGTCGCCTCAGGGCAGGAGAGGGCAGGTCGCTTTTGAGGAACCTCGACGGGGCGCCCGGGCCGCGCCGCGGGAACGGGCTGAGGGCGCGGCGACAGATCGAGCGGGTGGGGCGTGGGGTTCGCGGCGCGGCTGACAGGACTGGCCGGGAGGCCGCGATGCCCGGGCTGCCGCTGCCGCCTCCACCTCGGGCGGCGGCGGGGCTGAGGCGGTGGTGGGCGGGCGACTGCCGCGCCATCGACGGCCGGAGGACTGGGAGGGAACCCCCGGGACGCAAGCCCGGCCCCGAGTTATAGTGTCCTCGCCGGGCATTCGGGATTAAGTGAGGCTGTTCGGGGAGCGGCCGAGGTGAACCGTAAGGAGCCCTTTCAGCCCTGGCTTCGCCTTGCGTGATGTCTCTCTCTGGTTTCCTATCCCTGCTCGTGCAGCCCAAGGTGGCGTTCCGCGGAGGTGCGAATCGCTGCTGGAACCTCGGTGCGGACACCAGCGGCCGACTAACGGATGTGTTCAGCGGCGTGATGTCCGGCTCCTCTTCCTTCTATGATTGCTACAAAGCGCAGGTGCATTCCTCCGCTCCGCCCGGTGTTAGAGGACGTATTCTAATCAGATTCATTCCCTGAGCCGATTCCTTCGGGTGTTTAAACTGCCCCAAGCCTAAGACCAGAAAGCCATGACAACATTTCACAGATAGCGTTTGCAGAACACATGCTTTGCTTTGAAAACGAGTTAAGGAATAAGATTTTTAACTGATCGTTCTTTTCGTTCGTCTTCAGTGGTGTCAGAAATGTACGAAAATACATATTTACTTAGTAAGACCTTAAAACTACTTTTCCCCTCAAGCATTTGTTGTAAATCCGTACGAGCATACTTTTGATAATTTAAAGATGAAATTTTTGGCACTTCCTTATTCTCTGGCTTTCACGATGACCTTCTTACATTATATACTACCTTTTACCTCACCTAAAACATTTACATTTTGTTAGTCATATTACATTGGTCTTAGGCTAATGTAAGTCATTTTCATTTGAAATTATTTAACCAGGACACCAGTGTTGATATTGTTATACTTTGAATTATAACAATATCCTGAAATAAGTTATTTAATCCACACATAGCCTTACAAAGTGTTATGCCCACTGTACAGATTGAGAAACTGAGGCTCAGAAAGCTTAATTTGTGTCCACAGTGACAAAGCCCAAGTGGAACCCAGGTCTTTTCACTGCCGAGACCAGCATTCCACTGCCTCTATAATGTTTACATCGCTACTGAAATGTACTTGAATTTATTTTTAGTTATTTTAAGTCTATCAAGGATATAAGTGGTAAATTTTGCAGTTACCTGGACCTAATTAATATGCCAACCCCAAGTATTTGCATATTTAATTTCTGTAAATGTTTTAACTGAAAGAACCCATATATTTAAAGTATAGTTATGTTTGAATTCACCACATTACTTTAGTTGCTTGTTTTATCCTGTAATATAAAATTTAAATCAATCTTTAAAAGATTTAATTTTTCTAATATTCAAAACTTATTTTAAAATGTGAAATGTACTTGAAAGAATTCCCAAAATGTATTTCGTTTCCAGTGCTCTTTACCTCATTAGATATTTGAATATGAAAATGCTCTTTTGTTTAAGCAACTATTTAAAAATGAACAGCCCTGGCCCATGCGCACAGTGATTAGAGCAACAGCTTGTGCGCCATAAGTTCGGGGGCTTGCGGGTTCTGTGGTTTGATTGCCAGTCAAGGGCATGTACCTGGGTTGCAGGTTTGATCCCTATCCCTTGTGCTGGAGACAACCAGTCCGTGCGTCTCTCTCACATCATGTCTCTTGCCCTCCCCCTTCCCTTTCACTCTCTGTATCAATGGAAAAATATCCTCCACGGGTAAGGATTTAAAAGATGGACAGTTACTTATGGCACTTTGGATACTTCACACCTAAAAGAGAGTTAAGGTGGGCCTATAACAAAAACTTCAGAACTAAAGGAATAAAGTTATGAAAGGTTCTAAAGATAAAAGTTACTAACATCTAAAAAGATAGTTTTTAGTGGCACTCTTAGCAAAATGATTGTAAAATATTGGAGATTCTTGAAGATGGATAATTGGAAGGTATTTTCTTTTTTTTTTTCTTTTTTTTTTTAATATATTTTATTGATTTTTTACAGAGAGGAAGGGAGAGAGATAGAGAGTTAGAAACATCGATGAGAGAGAAACATCGATCAGCTGCCTCCTGCACATCCCCCACTGGGGAAGTGCCTGCAACCCAGGTACATGCCCTTGACCGGAATCGAACCTGGGACCTTTCAGTCCGCAGGCCGACGCTCTATCCGCTGAGCCAAACCGGCTTTGGCAATTGGAAGGTATTTTCATATTTTATTATTAAAGTATAAACTCAGTATTGTATGTTTAAAATGTTTTCAATTATGTCTATAAAAACAAAAATTTAGGAATATAGGAATACTTTATGTCTTCTCTTTTTATGTAAATTTTTTTCAAATGGGTTTTTATTGATTTTAGAGAGAGAGAGGAAGGGAGAAAGGAGAGACAGAAAAATGATGAGAAAACCATTAATTGGCCTCCTGCAACAAGCCCTACTGGTGACCTCTGGGTTCATGGGGCATACTCAACCAACTGAGCCACACTGGCCAGAGCAATGTAAATTTTGATTAAGAGAATAAAAGCAGCCCTGGTTGCCCTTGCCAGTTGCTCAGTGATTAGACCATCCCTTTGGACTGAAGGGTCACGGGTTCGATTTCCAGTCAAGGGCAGTACCTCAGTTGCAGGTTCCCCAGCCCCAGTAGGGGCACATGGAGGAGACAACTAATCAGTGTTTCTTTTTCTCTCTCTCCTCCTCCTCCCTCCCACTCTCTCTAGAAATCAAAGGGAAAAATATCCTAAAATATATCCTTGGGTGAGGATTAAAAAAAGGGGGAATAAAAGCAATTAGAAAAAAATTTTAGTCAGCATTATATTATTCTCTATTTATAAGTACAGAGTGAACAAAAGGTTTACAATTGTTTATATGGAAAATAATTAATAATAATACAAGAATAAACTCTGTTTCGCATACTCACAACAGTAAACCTACATTTACCCCAGCTTGTATAAAAACAATCATTTCTGCCGAGACCGGTTTGGCTCAGTGGATAGAGCGTCGGTCTGCGGACTGAAAGGTCCCGGGTTCGATTCCGGTCGGGGGCATGTGCCTGGGTTGCGGGCATATCCCCAGTGGGGGATGTGCAGGAGGCAGCTGGTCGATGTTTCTCTCTCATCGATGTTTCTAACTCTCTATCTCTCTCCCTTCCTCTCTGTAAAAAATCAATAAAATATATTTTAAAAAAAAAACAAAAAAAACCCCAATCATTTCTACTGTGTTATATCTGGATATTTGTAGTCATTATATTCAGGTTTTATTCCTTATTTGGAGAGTTAAAAATTGTGAACCTATACTTTGAGACTTCTTTAAAGAAGCATTTTCTAGAATAAAATGCATCTAAGTGTTTAATCTTTGCCCTAGCCAGTTAGGTTCAGTGGGTAGAGCCTCGGCCTGTGGATCAAAAGGTCCGGGTTTGATTCCAGTCAAGGGCATGTACCTCGGTTGCAGGCTCCTCTGGGCTTGTGCAGGAGACAACCAATCAAAGTGTTTCTCTCACATCGTTATTTCTCTGTCTTTTCCTCTCTCTTCCACTCTCTCTAAAAATCAATGGAAAAATATCCTCAGGTGAGGATTAATATATATATATAATGTTTAATCTTTTATTTATTATTATATTCATTCTATAATACTATTTTAAGTATTTTAAATTATTTTTACTGCTCCTCAATAGTTTTTGGAAGGAGACAGGATTTTAAATAATTAAAATCTTAAAATTCAAACTTTCACCTTATTTACTCAGAGTTCATTATAGAAGTCTTCATGCAAAAAAGAAAAATTAACTGGCATTTTTTCTCCTAATTGTAATAATATCTTTAAATTTTCTGAAGAGATCATAACATTTTATATATCATCTCATTTTTATAATATCTCTTAGAAATAAAAACGAGACTGAAAATTAAAGATACTGTTTTAAAATGCCCTAGAGCCAGTTGCTCAATGGGTAGAGCATTTGTCTGTGGACTGAAGGGTCCTGGGTTCAATTCCATGTTCAGGAGGCAACCAATTGATGTGTGTCTCTCACATCTATGTTTTTCTGTCTCTGTCTCTACCCCTCCCTTCCACTCTCTCTAAAAACCACTGGGAAAATATGCTTGGGTGAGATTAACCAAAAATAAAATAAAAGAAAGTGCCCTAGAATAAGAGTAAGAAGGCCTGGAGTTTGGGTTTTAGTTTTGTCACCTTGGGCTCAGTAACTTGTAGCCTTAGTTTTCTCATTTTTCTATTTTAATAGAATACCCATGTCACAGGGTTGACTGAATACAAGAATGTATATGAAGTTTGTTTGAAATTCTATGTAAATGTACATTAACTTTTTTTAACAGATTGGGAACATTAAGACTTTTATAAATGATATGTGAAATATAACATTGCTAGTGTCCACATTATGTTCAACAAATTAAAACTGTAATAATTATAGGTGTTTTAGACTAGGTATAAGCAACAAGTACACCCAGGGGTCAGATTAGATCTGCCAAGTGCCTATTGTGTGTGTGCGTGTGTGTGTGTGTGTGTGTGTGTGTGTGTGTGTGTGTGTGTTTTGTTTTGTTTTTTAAAAAAAACATTTATTGGAATACAGCTGTGTCCATTTGTTTCCATGTTGTCTGTCTATGGTTGTTTCCTTTTTTCTTTTTTTGTAACTCTCATCCACAGATATTGTTTTTCCCCATTGATTTTTAGAGAGATTGGGAGGGGGAGAGCGAGAGACAGACAGACAGCCCTGGGATCAAACCTGCAATCCAGGTACCTGTCCTTGACCAGGAATTGAACCTGCAAACCAGCCAGAGCTATTTATGGTTGCTTAAAGAGACCTTAACAGTCAGCAAACCCTAGTATTTGTTATCTGGCTCTTTACAGAAAAAAATTTGCCAATCCTTAGTATAAAGTAAGCTTAAATAGCTAAGTCTAGATTTGATTTTGTCTCCCAACTCTTACACATGTTATTTCCTCCTATTTCTTATTATACCACTAATATTCTGTAATGTAGTTTTATTTTTTTTAATATATTTTATTGGTTTTTTACAGAGAGGAAGGGAGAGGGATAGAGAGCTAGAAACATCGATGAGAGAGAAACATAAATCAGCTGCCTCCTGCACACTCCCTACTGGGTATGTGCCCGCAACCAAGGTACATGCCCCTGACCGAAATCGAACCTGAGACCCTTGAGTCCGCAGGCTGACGCTCTATCCACTGAACCAAACCAGTTAGGGCTGTAATATAGTTTTAATGTGTCTGATACATAAGCATTTCTTTAAAATTTCAGAGTGAAGACAATGTTGACCTAAGGCAGACCTATACTCCACTTTCTTCATCAACTGAATATGCAAGTTCTGTAGATTCTTCAATTTTCTATGCACCATGGTCTACTTATGGAGATGATATTAAGCAGCCTTCTAATTCTCAGATTAATGTAAAGAACAGGTAAATTAATAAATTTTATTTTTCAGGCTAAATGAAGTGTTTTTAAGTTTGATTACATGGGAACCCAATTGTATTAGTTCTTTGTTCCCTATATCAGCATTTAATTTTATGTTATTAATTTTTGTTATGGCATAATTTTATGTTTATAAAACTTTTAGGAAACCCTAAACTGGGCAGTTATTTATATATAATTTTAGCTTATTGCTGTTTTTTATTGATTAGAGGCAATCTTTAGTGACTAGATCTTAAGTTCCTCTTTTGAAAGATATATACATGAATTACAATTTTTAGATGTTTTTTATTCATTCTAAATGTTCAGTAATTTCTTCCTTCACAAGTACTCAATAAACAAGATTTTTATCCAACATAAGAGACTTTTAAATTTTTTTTATCCTCACCCGAGGATATGTTTATTGATTTTAGAGAGGAAGGAAAGACAGAGAGAGAAACATCCATGGGATTCCTACCAATGCACCCTGACCAGGAATCAAACCCAAAACCTAAGTATGTGCCTTACCCAGGAATAAAACCCTCAACCTTTTGATTTATGAGATGATGCTCCAGTCACTGAGCCACCTTGCCGGAGCTTAATTATTTTTCTATGCAATTCCACAAATAAGGGCCTACTCTGTGCCTGATTCTTTCCTAGTGGAGATATTAGCATTAACATGGCAAATATTTATCCCTGCCTTTATACATTTTACAATACTGATGACAATGATAACTTGCCAGGCACTGCAAGTGTAGTGAGGTTAAAAAGAGAAAGCATAGGACATTTTAGGAGCCTAATGCAAAAAGAAGCCTAGGGGAAGTGACATCTACCTTTATTTTAATTACATATAGGGGAGCAGTTGATAGAAGATGATGCATCTTTAGTTTAAGCAGAAAATAATTACTTTTTAAATCTTATTAATTAAACAATTATTAAACTTTTTAAATTTGTGGTAAGTTCTCTATAAAATAGTGATTTTATTAGAAAGATTATATAATGTATAATTCTATCAAAACAAATATTTTTAACTTGATATGTTCATTTAAAAACTTAAAACTTTACAAAAATATATAAAGAAAATCAGAAATCCACCTTAACCCTGCCTTCACACCTCCCAATTACAACTATTAATATTTTATTGTATATTACATTGAATATTTTTAGATATATACTAATACATTATTATATAGAAAGCTTTATATTGAATATTTGTGAAACAACATGATATAGGGGGAAAAGACCATTTGTTTAGCAAGTAAAAGTTCGGCAAGTCATAAATTCTTGCAAAATAGGTATTTTTTTCTTTTTTTTAATATATTTTTATTGATAAGAGAATCCTGGATCGGCTGCCTCCTGCACATCTCACACTGGGGATTGAGCCCTTGACCAGAATTGAACCCAGGATCCTTCGATCCACAGGCCGACGCTCTATCCACTGAGCCCAACCGGCTAGGGCTGTTTCTTTTTTAAATATATTTTTAGCCCTAACTGGTTTGGCTCAGTGGATAGAGCGTCAGCCTGCGGACTGAAGGGTCCCAGGTTCGATTCCAGTCAAGGGTATGTACCTTGGTTTCGGGCAGATCCCCAGTAGGGGTGTGCAGGAGGCAGCTGATCAATGTTTCTCTCTCATCCATGTTTCTAACTCTATCCCTCTCCCTTCCTCTGTGTAAAAAATCAATAAAATATATTTTAAAAAATATTTTTATTGATTTGAGATAGAGAGGAAGGGAGAGGGATAGAGAGATAGAAACATCAATGAGAGAGAAATATAATCCATCTGCTTCCTCCTTCACTCCCCCTACTGGGGATTAAGCCCTGACTGGGAATCAAACCAGTGACCTCTAACACAAGTTTCTTTTCTTAAATATATTTTTATTTATTTCAGAGAGGAAGGGAGAGGGAGAGATAGAAACATCAATGATGAGAGAGAATCACTGATTGGCCACCTCCTGCATGCCCCCTACTGGGGATAGCAACTCAGTCCGCAGGCTGACGCTCTATCCACTGAGCCAAACCAGCTAGGGCTAATACAAGTTTCTTTTCTTTTCTTTTTCTTTTTTTTTTTTTAAATATATTTCACTGATTTTTTACGGAGAGGAAGGGAGAGGGGATAGAGAGTTAGAAACATTGATGAGAGAGAAACATCAATCAGCTGCCTCCTGCACACCCCCCACCGGGGATGCGCCCGCAACTAAGGTACATGCCCTTGGCCGGAATCGAACCTGTGACCCTTCAGTCCGCAGGCCGATGCTCTATCCACTGAGCCAAACCGGTTAGGGCAATACAAGTTTCTTAATATCTCAAATGATCATTCATTAAACAGCTGAATGATTACTAGTACTTGCCCATCTTATGTTATGAAGATGAATAAAATGTTTTGAGTGTTATGCAAATATAAGGTATTTTTATTTCTAAAATGCCCTAACACTATTAAATGTTAGAGACAAAATATGAGAAAACAAAGTTACAATTTAAAAAAAAAAAAACATATTACTTCTAGGAACAAATTACCCAAAATCCATAGAGGGTAAAAAGGCACAAATTTTTCATCTACTTACAGTTTTTACATTTTTGTATTATTTATACAATGTTAGTCACCAGGTAGCATTTCAGGTACATGGAACTCCATTCACCTCTTTGGTAAGGACTTAGAGATAGCCCACAAGTCTGTTACACTTAAGGGACAACTGCAATAGTGCTGTGGTATCTAGGATGATCATATCACATTTTACTTTATAATCCAATCCTATATAATAAAACCCTAATATGCAAATTGACCGAACAGCGGAACGACTGGTCACTACAATGCACACTGACCACCAAGGGGCAAACATCTGCCCTCCAAGAGGGAGGCAACCAACAGGCGGCAGCGGCGGTGATCGGGGGGCAGGGCTGGCTGGTGGGTACCCCACAAGTCACCTCCGGCAAACCTGCAAACCCGCAAACTGGCAGTCAGACATCCCCTGAGGGTGCAGGCCGGGCTGAGGGACACACACACACACACACACACACACACACACACACACGCCATGCACAAATTTTGTGCACCAGGCCTCTAGTATTTAGTATAAAAAGACAAAAATCAAGCAACAGGTTCACATGCTTTTCAAATTACAAATGAAGAATCTGAGTGTTGATGGGAGGATGTATAATAGGATTGGATATGCTTTCAGGAGAAGCCACAGTATAGTATCAAGCATCATAAGTCAGAGATTTATATTTTGGTCACCTAAAATGAATTGTGTTTTGGAGAAATAAGAGGTAAGCATACATTGTAACTAGACAGGATTTGAAATGAAGGAGAGATATTTATGTAACATAGTAAGCTAAAGTGGAAATTATTCTTGAGTTCTTGTTCCTTCTTTATTTGAAATTACGGTATAGATTCAATCCAAATATTTTATAGAAAATAATGGTAAGATAAATCTAGAAATAGAAATCAATATATTGTATTTCAGTGTGAGTAAAATAATTTGTCATGTAATTTTTTTTCAGGATTCAAACAGAAAGAAATGACTATGGCAGTGAAACAGACTTATATGGACTTGTATCTAACATTTTGGAAGAACAAGATAAGTCACAGCCATATTTTGCTGATGGGTTAGTATATCATATAAGCTATACATTATATAGTGAGCTTTTACATTCATATACAGGATGGTGCAAAAGTAGATTTACAGTTGTGAGTACATGAAACATGGTTTATTCTTGCTATTATTAATTATTGTATTATTTTCCATGCAAACAACTGTAAACCTGTATACTAGATTATCCTATTAACTTTTATTTTTAGTTAATAGAGGATCATCTGAGAGTAGACATCTTAATTCAAATACTTGTTTTTAGAAGTCTTGATTTTGCTGAGATCGTTGCATACAATTAAAAGTTTCAATCTAAGGTTTAATAGTTTCAACAAAATACATCTTTTTTTGTTGAAAAAATTGTGGTCAACAACACTTTTTGTATTATGTAATAACCTAATTAAAGGAAAAACTTAACTTTTTTTAAATTGTTTTATTGCTTAAAGTATTACAAAGAGTATTACATATGTCTCCTTTTTTTCCTACCAAAGTTAAGGAAAAACTTAACTTTGTTTTCTGTTTACTATAGATAAAATATTATGTAAGACTATGCAGTCATCAGCCTCAGGCCTCAGTTAATGCCTCTTTGAAAAGTATAATGAACACATAAGAGAATTATTTAAATGTAATGGTAGCGTATAAGACAAAGTTGAAAAGGATTAGAGAACGGGGAGGTGGGTGAGATAAATGTTATTGAAAACCTTTCCTACCTTTTCTACTAAGGACATAAAATCTTTTAAAGCCTAAGTTGTAATTAAATATATTTACTTGTTCTAGGACCTGCTCCTCCAATTTAAAGTCAGTTTGGCCAGTGAACACAAGCAGATTTGCAGATCACCATGACCTGTTAACAGAAACCAAAAGGCCAATAGATACAGCCATCTCTCAGCAAGCTTTTTATTCTGGTGAATCTGTGTCAGCAGTGGAAAAGCAATACCTGCATAATAGTAATCTCACACCACAACAAAAAATAGATGAACTTTATCATGGATTTACTGGTTTAGACCTTGAAGAACAATGGATGTACCCCTCACGAAGTGATCATTCTAATTGTTATAATATTCAGACAAATGATACAGCTAAGACAACATTCCAAGAATATCCATTTGTCAAAAACTGTTTTACACCACAAGCTGGCCTCTCTGAGGTCATGAAAGAATCAGGACCTGATACTTACCCTTATGGAAGAGAGAAAATGTGTGTTAAAAGTCTTGAAGCGCCATTACAGCAGAAAAGGGCAGAGATATTTCTTTCCCAGTTTAATAGATACAATGAAAATGCAGATTATTGTAGATATCCAGAATATGCTCATCCTAATAAGGCTAAACTTACTAAGTGTTCAAATTTTAGTGTCCAAGATAGTAAAAAATTAGCCAATGGCACACCTGAAACACCAACTGTAGAAGCAGACAGCTACACAAAGTTATTTCAGGTTAAACCAACAAATCAGAAAAAAATGGAAGAGACAATACCTGACCAGCAGAATTTCACATTTCCAAAAACTACACCACACCTGACAGAAAAACAGTTTGCAAAGGAAGCAGCATTCACTGCTGACTTTGGCTTAAAATCAGAATATGGACTAAAACCTCATACAGTTTGTCCAGCTAATAATGATTTCACTAATGTCTCAGAAAAGCAACAGTTTGCTAAAGCTGACCCCCCAAATTCTGAGTATTTTAAATCAGTGACTTTATTGTCAAACTCAGCAACATCTTCAGGAGGTATCAACTTAAATAGGCCAACTTGGATGAATGTCCACACAAAAAGTAATGCTCCTATTCCTTATCGAAATCAAGGTAACTTGATGAAATTAAATAGTCATTTAAGTGCAGCTTCAAAAGGTTCTAACCATTCTTCAGATTTTCCCCAACTATCATCCACAAATTTAACTCCAAATAGCAATATGTTTCAGAAGTATTGCCAAGAAAACCCTTCAGCATTTTCTAGTTTTGATTTCAATTATAATAGTGCAGAAAGAATTCAACCTGTCAATCACATGGAAGGACTGACAAAGACTGCAGAAGAAAATCTCTTTGAATTGGTTACCGATAAAAAAATAAAGCAGCCAAATGGATTTTGTGATAATTACTCAGTTCAGCAGTATGGGATCATTGAAAATGTAAACAAACATAATTTTCAAACTAAGCCTCAGAGTGGACATTATGATTCTGAGGAAGGTCCAAAGCATTTAGATGCATTATCTCAAAATACTTATCAAGATTTGTTGGAGGCACAGAGTCATTTTAATAGCCACAGACAGGGAAGTGGAGACAACAATATTAATAGCCGTGTGAATCGCACACAGGCATCCTGTTTTTCTAATTATATGATGGGAGATGTAAGGCATAATCAGAGTTTTCAACAACTTGGTTCAAATGGGTTTCCCCTAAGATCCACCCACCCATTTGGCCATTCAGTTGTTCCACTCTTGGATTCCTATGATTTGTTTTCTTATGATGACTTAAGCCATTTATACCCTTATTTTAATGATATGATGTATGGTGATAATTCCTTTTCTGGTTTTGTGCCAACTTTCGGATTTCAAAGACCAATTAAAACCCGTAGTGGACCAGCCAGTGAACTTCATATTCGTCTAGAAGAATGCTATGAACAATGGAGAGCACTAGAAAAAGAGAGAAAAAAGGTAACACAAAGCTATCCAGTTAGGAGTAACATAATATGTCCCCTACATCATCTTTTGTTTACCTTAGTGTGCTTTGAGTACTTGCTTTATTTCTAAGCTGAATTCTTCTCTAATGGGCAATATTTGTTAAATCCATGACTATAAGGAATTAAGTGATTTAAAGTCAGAAAGCTGGTGTTGGGAGGAATGGAGACATCTGTAATAGTGTCACCAATAAAAATAAAGTTTAAAATAAATATGTAAAGAATAAAAAACTAAAAAAAGTTTGGGGTTAAAAAGAATTGTTACTTATGTAAAGCTTATTTTGCCAATGAAGTAGACTTTTTCCCTAATGGGTTAAAAGTTAATTTCTTTCAATTTTTAAAGTATTAAACTGTTGGAGTGTCCAGGTATTTTATTTGTATTAAGTATGACAGAAAAATACTGTGGTTTGTATTTGCTGCCTTTTGATACCAAAACAGTTATTTAAAGGAGTAATTTTCAATCTATTGCTTAGGCCTAAGAAAAATATTACCATTGAATCATATTTGGAAAATTCTTCATCTAAAAATTACATAATTTTTTTACAGACTGAATTGGCCCTTGCCAAGAATTACCCAGGGAAAAAAGTATCCAGTACTAACAATACTCCAATTCCAAGGCTGACTTCCAACCCATCTAGAGTTGATCGCTTAATTGTGGATGAACTTCGAGAACAAGCCAGGGTAAGCTATAAAAACTTCCCAATAGTGGACTTTTAAATTACTGGATAAATTCTTAAAACATTTCAGTAAGTTAGAATTCTAAAGGATTTTTAAATCACACTTATGTGTAACTCTTTGAAGTATATTCTTTTCCATGTTTGGTCCTAGAACTGATTAATATTTAGAAAAGGGGAAATAGCCCCACCCAATTATTTAAAGCTAGGTTTAATAACTTAAATGGTTCCTCTTCAAACCCAAATTGGCAGTGGAGCTAATCAACAGAAAGAATTTTTTTAAAGCAAAACCATTTTGAATATTTATAGGGAAAGTCCCATTTCTTGGTCACAAACATTTGTTTTCTAGTGTGATGAGCAAGCTGTGCTTGCATTATACAGGATGGTAAATAGGGAATTACCATATTTCATTTCTTAACCCTGTATTCTTGTTATTCAACAAATAAGTATGCACAGCAGTGTATTAAATACTGATAAACTGATGTATGTAGGTATGCATACTTTTATAAAACAGCCTTGTTTATGGAAAGTAGTATGTCACTTCAAATAAAATGTAGCCCTAACCGCTTTGGCTCAGTGGATAGAGCATCGGCCTGCGGACTGAAGGGTCCCAGGTTCGATTCCAGTCAAGGGCATGTTTGTTGGTTGAAGGCACATCCTCAGTGGGGGGGGGTGCAGGAGGCAGCTGATCAATATTTCTCTCTCATCAATGTTTCTAGATCTCTATCCCTCAACCTTCCTCTCTATAAAATATCAATAAATTAAAAACAAAACAATAAAATGTTGTATAAAATACTGATATTAAGTCCTTTTGTAATTTAAGAAATTATTGTTCCTGCCCTAACCGGTTTGGCTCAGTGGATAGAGCGTCGGCCTGCAGACTCAAGGGTTGCAGGTTCAATTCCGGTCAAGGGCATGTACCTTGGTTGTGGGCACATACCCATTAGGGAGTGTGCAGGAAGCAGCTGATTGATGTTTCCCTCTCATCGATGTTTCTAACTCTCTATCCCTCTCCCTTTCTCTCTGTAAAAAAAAAAATCAATAAAATATATTTTTTTTAAAAAAAAGAAATTATTGTTCCTATTATCTCTTGTAATTTCAGGATTTTCTAATCAATTTTAATAGAGTAAGGTAAAATTTTTTCTTTTTATTCCTCTCTTAAAAAGTCATAGCTTTCTAAGTAAAATCTGATGAAGATTCCTGAGAAAAAGCATGCAGTGAAATAGGGTGCTTTTATGATTGAGTGAAAGCCACTTTAGGAATTAGAAAAATCAACATAAGTCTGTTTTATTGAACATCAGTTTCTTACTTTGTACCATGCTGTCTTAAAAATATAGATATGAACTATTTCAGTGGAAAATATTGACTTTACCTAGCTTTCAGCCTGGGTCAGTTGAGATTCATCAAATTTGTAAATTTGTACAATGGAATTTATCAATGTGTATAGTCAAATACTGAGATGGATTACAGCCAGATGTTATGTTAATGAAAACTTCAGTCTCTTATTATATTTTCTTAATACCATTCCAAGTTAAGACTCCTTTTTCTCAGAATACATGTCTCAGCAATAAATCAAAGGATTGCAAACTGTGGATGTTAGGAAATATACTTTTACTAGTTTTTTAAAAAATTTTTTTTATTGATTTCAGAGAGGAAGGGAGAGGGAGAGAGAGAAACATCAATAATGAGAGAGAATCATTGATTGGCTGCCTCCTGCACGCCCCCACGGGGGATTGAGCCCGCAACCCAGGCATATGCCCTTGACCGCAATTGAACCCAGGACCCTTCCCCCAGGCTGATGCTTCATCCACTAAGCCAAACCAGCTAGGGCTTACCAGCTTTGGTAATGTGTCACAATAAGTTAGAAGGTTATGTCTATAGCTGCCATAATTTTTCTAATCTATATTTAGCAATATTAGGTCAATAATATATAAAGGGGAAAATATTTTCACATGTACTATTTTCTAGTATGCTAGTTTTATAAAATTCTGAAAAGAAATCTTTTAAAAGTTTATTAAAAATCACCGGTGCAAATTTCTTTTTTACACTTATCACTTATTCAAAATGATTGTCTTGTTTGAAAAATATGTAATTGAAAGTTCATTGGAATATTTGATAATGGTTTTTTTCCTGTTATCATCCCTTCAAGGATCTAGCTGGTTGTACAATTGGGAGGAAAATATTTAGTACCTGTACACTTTCTCTATGGGCCTAAACTCCTATTTCAAACTTGATATGAATGTGAGTGTAGAGGCATTGATTCAGATGCCTTCAGCTTCTTGAGAGGTATTTTACTACTCTTTCCAATCACTGAACACCAAGTGCTTATGTGAATTTTAAAGAGTTTTTAAATTGATTTTTGGAAAGAGGAAGGGAGAGGGAGAGAAACATCGACTAGCTGCCTCCTGCACGCCCCCCACCGGGATCAAACCTGCAATCCTGGGCTTGTGCCCTGACTGGAAAACAAACCTGTAATCTTTCGGTGCAAAGGACAACACCCAACCAACTAAGCCACACTGGTCAGGGCAATTTTAAATCATTTAGTTCCCAAGGGCAATTACTCAAAAAGTTCTCTTTCCTTACACCTTCCAAGGTTAGAATTTGGGAAACAAGTTAGGAATATGAAACATACTCCCCTTACTGATCTAATATACCAGTGCCCTTTTAAAAGTGTAATTAACCGGAAGATTGAGAGATTTCCTATTTTTTCTTAGCAGTTCTGATAATTATAGGATTTTTTTTTTTATTATTTCAATATAATTTAAGTCAACATTTTCTGGATTATGGATTCTTTAAAACTCTCACTAGCTCAGTATCATTATCTGAATGTTTCTGATTTCCAAAAGGAGAACACTAGAGGCCCACAAAGGACTTGCTGAAGTGAGGATTAATCAGTCTAGGATTTCTCCCTATTAGCTTATTTTTTTCCCCTTTAGATTATAGTATCTCCTAATAACACTATTTGCCAAAAACAGTGTTGGATCTTATATTTGCACTTTACTGTTAATGACATGGGAACATTTGAATGTTTGACTTTTCCATTGTTGTTTATTCCCATCAATTGATTACCTAAAAGCTTTTAGAATTAACAAATACAAGTAGGTACAAAAGACAGACTTTCCATCTTTGTTACCCCCAACATGGTATCAGGACACAATAGGCATTCAATTATTTATTGAATGAATATTATTACTCTCATGTCTATTCTGCTTTTTTGAAGATTTGTTTTTACTTAAGTTAATGACAGGCAATGTGGTTACATGCCTTATCAAAATTTAAAATCTTTCCCTCAGGTTGTAACTTTACTAGGCAAGATGGAACGTCTTCGAAGCTCTCCCCTTCATGCCAATATCTCTACTGCTCTTGATAGACACTTGGAATCCATTCACATTGTACAGTCACGTAGAAAGGATGAAATTGTTAATGCTTCAAATCGTCAAAAGCAAGGAGTTCCTAGATGCCAAGATGACAGAGGTACAAATATTAAATGCATATTATTTTGATAAGGCATTGAGATAGTTTGAATGTTAATAAAATCAGATTCTAAGGTTAAAACGTCAAAATTCTAAAATTTACACTTATCTAAGAATAAATTGGTAAAGGTGCCCACATAATCTACTCCAAAAGTACCTTGATCTGTTTTGTTAACTTGATCCACTTATAATTCCATCAAAGTCTGTGTTCCACCCAAAGCATAGTCATCATACAAGGCAGAATAAAATGTCAACACTTTTAAGTACATATTAAGTCAAGAACTTTGATTAATTTAGTCAACACCTACCCACCCTTCTTTTATAAAAATTAATAGAGGCCCAGTGCATAAAATTCATGCATGGGTAGGGTCCCTAGGCCTGGCCGGTGATCAGGGCCAATTGGGGCCTTCCAGCTGCTGGCTGGGGCTGTCCTTCATTCTGCACCACCACCCCTGATGGTCAGTGCAAGTCATAGCAAGCGATCGAACTCATGGTTGACCTCCCTAGGGGATCCTTTGCATATTAGCCTTTTAAATATATATATAGATGATGTTTGATCATTTAGTAGCTCAGCACTGGGCTTTAAGAGGTAAGGGAAACTTAAATGGTAGCTAATGTGAACTGACTCTAAATGTTTCTTTTACAGATGTTTTTGCCCTTGCTGCAGCAATTAAAGAGATGTGTGTGGCTACTCGGAAGGCACGCACTACACTGTGGTGTGCACTGCAGATGACCTTGCCTAAAACAGCCAATACAACTGGCCAAACAGATGTGGAAAAGGCTTTACAAGATATAGTAAACTGTGAAGATAAAGTCCATGAAAGCATAAATAGTAGCAATCCAATGAATCAGAGAGGTGACGCAAACAAACATTAAGGAAATGCCAGCAGAAAGAATAAAAAGCTGATAAGTAAATGTATCAAGACATGCTCAACAATTGTAATGAACTTGTCAAACTTGAAAATTTCAATGCATTTTTTCAGATTTAGAGTTTAATACCTTAATGAAGTCTAGCTTCAATTTAAAAATCTATTTGGAATGAATCAGATATAGTTTAAAGTGAACTCAAAGGGAACGTTGGACTACTCAGAGTTCTGAGTAGTCGAAGATAAGTTTAAGCAAATTAAATATTTCCTAACAGCTAAAGTATTGCTTAAACCTATTCTGCAGTGCAGGTAAATGCAAATGTGAAATTCTTCTAGAAGATAAGTTTCATTTAGGTCTGCCTTAGTAAGTATAATTCCAAATAATGAATCTAAATGACTGTAACCCAATTATGGCTACAGTCTAGTAACCAAGACGTTTTGATTGTGATTTAAAAGTGTTTTCCTTACAAAACTGGATAATACCTAGGAAACAAAGGAAAACAAGAATCAACCCAATATTCATGTAAATTTTTAATATTTAAACTACTACCATATTTATAATTTGAAATCTTAGTGCCTAAGTATATGGAGGGAAATGCATCTGATTCTCCTAAATTAGTGATAAAAGTGCCAGTGTAAAAACCATGCAAGTTACTGAATATAAAATCTGTTCAAATCATTTGTGTATATTCTTAAAATTTAATTATACTATCAATTATTAAATATTTCCAATTTTAAAGTATTTACATTGAATCGAAACAAAACAGTTCCTTTATCTGGATCTTTTAGATATGATGCACAGTAACTAAAATAATGACTATTGTTTTAATACCCTTAGTTGCTGCCTTTTATGAGGGTATCACGAAGTTTTAAAATGTATTTTTTAAGGTTAGCCTTTAACTAGTTTAGTTTGCAATTGGTTAGTGTCTATTTTGTGTAGTTGTGTTCATTAGTTTGCTTCTGTATTTTTTAAGAGCTCTAGAAAGCTTGGCTTTTTCTGTTTCTCATCACTTAATATCTTTGTATGGAACCCAAGTAATTTATTCATTAATATGAAATGTTGATATTATGTGACTCAGATCTTGGGTTTTAACATTTCTAGCATGAGTTAAACTATGATATAATGTACTGATGAAATTTAATTGAACTATCCTTGACTAGAAACACTGATGTTTTAAATGTTGGTGTTTTTCCTAGTTTTAGAAATCCTGGTATAAAAAGAGTGTAATCACACCACATAAATTTTCTTTAGATGATGTGCGGAAGAAACTGATTGAGAGAATTCAGGAGTAACTGTGGGGAGAAACATTTTGATCACTGATATGCCTTAGAACTACCAAATTAATTACATTGAAGGTAGTCAAATAAAATAGATCACCCCACCACAGTCACTGCATAGAAAGTGGTTAAGTTTGACATAAGACATGTTGGATGTTATAACAAATATTGTACTAATTTAGTCTCTCAGGAAAAGAAAATAAATTATTTTGTTGAAAATATTTGGTTTCATTTTTTACATTTGTATTAGTTTATAACGAAGAGTCACTCATGTCAGAATACCAAATTTCAGCCCTGGCTGGTTTGGCTCAGTGGATAGAGCATCCACCTGCAAACTGAAGGGTCCCGGGTTCGATTCCAGTCAAGGGCACATGTCTGGGTTTCGTGCTCAATCCCCAGTAGGGGGCCTCCAGGAGGCAGCCAATCAATGATTCTCATCATTGATGTTTCTATCTCTCTTTTCCACTCCCTTCCTCTATGAAATCAATAAAAATATTTTTTTAAAAAAAACACCAAATTTCATTTAACTGATAAAAACTGGTTTTAAGTTTTCAATTTCATTAGAATTAACACATAAGTAAAAATGTTGGTAGACTCCCTAACCTGTTTGGCTCAGTGGATAAGGGCGTCGGCCTGCGGACTCAAGGGTCCCAGGTTCGATTCCAGTCAAGGGCATGTACCTTGGTTGCAGGCACATCCCCAGTAGGGGGTGTGCAGGAGGCAGTTGATCGATGTTTCTCTCATCGATGCTTCTAACTCTCTATCCCTCTCCCTTCCTCTGTAAAAAATCAATAAAATGTATTTTTTTAAAATGTTGGTAGACAAACCAATATCATTCATATTATCTTTTAATCTAACCTTACCTCCTTCAAGATGAAACTTCTGCTCCTACTTTATGTTGATCCAGGCAAACTAGGGTAAAAATTCTGGGGAAGCTTTGACATGATAGTGGTCAAAATGAAACATTAGTCCATTAACAAAAACCAAACATAAAAATTCTTTGAAATTTCATTAATCATGTCACCCTGTAGATAATTCTCATATTAGTTGGTTGTCCCTTTCTATGGTATACCTGCTAATGGATGGCTCTTATGTATTGTATTTCTGAATTACAACCTATGAAAACTTTATAAACTTAATATCACACAAGACTTGTAGTGAAACTGGTAAAATTGATGCTCCCATCATTTCTAATCGAAAAGAATTTGGCATATACTCAAAATTTTTTAAAAATTAGAAAAAGTGACATAGAAGCATGGAACAGACTGTTGAACCTCAGAGGGAAGGTGAGGAAGGGTAGGTGGGTGGGAAGAGATCAACCAAAGAACTAGTATGCATAGATGCATAACCCATGGACACAGACAATAGGGCGGTAAAGGCCTGGGGTAGGGGCTAGGGATAAGCTAGAAGAGGTCAATGAGGGAAAAGGGGGGACCTATGAATATTTTCAACAATAAAGATTTTTTAAAAATAGGAAAAGTACTTTTTATAAAAGTGAGTGAAAACTACCTTGAATTATATCAGTGTTTTTCCCATTTGAATGGGAATTATTACTGAAATCCCAAATGTGGCTTTAAAGTATCAATCATACCATGTGATATTGTTTAAAATTTGTCTTTTGCAATATTGAACATTTTAGATGGAAAGGATTGTTAGCACTTGAGTTAAATGAATAAACTTAAAGCCTAATGAACTAAAAAAAATAAATAAGCCTAATGAGCTGATCTTTTTTTTCTGTTTAAACATTAGTTCAAGTGTACACTTAACATACATTGAGCCAAAAGACATTAACGGGTTCCAAAAATTGCCAGCCCTGGGGCTCTAATCAAAAACCATGGAAGCTTCTGCTTAACTCCACACAAAGAACCCAAAGAACAACATGCCATGGTCTAAACGGGCTTGTGCCATACCACTTTAAAAGAGCAGAGATGAGCTAGCAAACAACTAAAGGACTGGCAATGCAGCCAAACACCAATGATCATAAACACCAAACTAATGCATACATAATAGCATCCCAGAAGAAAGAATTAACTGATGCTATAGCAGATTGAAACAAGTACCCCTCAGGGGTCCATGGATATAACCCAACTCTGATCCAGAGACCCAATCAAGGTGAGAATCAACCAAAAATAAGGATTTACTAAATTAAAATACACGCTATCTGTAAACACAGGCTATTGCTGCTGCCACATAAAGCTCTAAAATTCCAACAGTACTTCAAAACCAATTTACTGACTTTCCAAAACACAAGGTAATCTTTCTGATCTCCTAATACCCAACCTCACAGAAAGGAAAACTGAGGCAGAGAATTTATGGATTTCAGGAAGTTCTACTTGTAGGCTATTAGGGCTAAACATAAAGTAAAATTCAACACATTCCTAAGCACAGAATTCATCTCCATAGGGAGCTGAACAGAATCAGAATAAATCAGAAGACACTGATTTAAATAAAGTTTATTTTTTAAAAAGGTTATTTAATTTTGCGGATGCCACGGTTATAGGAGTGTATAGTGGTAATACATCTTTTCCTTAACCATGCTTTTTACCTTCTGCACAAAGGTAAAAACTTTTGTTAATCTCAATGGTATAAAACAGAGGTCAGCAAACTTTTTCTCCAAAGGTTCAGATAGCAAATATTTTAGGCTTTACAAGCCACAAAAGGTCTCTGTCATACATTCTTTATCACCCCTTTAAAAACATAAAATCCATTGTTAGCTTGCACCATACAAAAACAGACTAGGCCAAATTTGTCTTGCAGGCAGTAATTTGCTGACCCCTGGTATAAAATATCTTTGTTTTGTTGGGGAAATTGCTCTCTTCAGACTTCTTGACAGTCTTGCCTGAAGGAGAAAGGCCTGATTTCAAATTGAATGTAATTTGTGACAAAAGTAGAAATGGAGAGTTCCTGCTCACTTTTGACTCTCCCAAGCAATTTTCCCACTCACTCACTCACTCAATTAATTTGTTGAGCACCTACTATGTACACTCTTAAATATCTTTGTGTTAACAGAGATTTCCAGTGTTTCTTCCTGAAAAGGCAGTTCCTCTAAACCTGTAATTCTCAGGTCTTTATACGTGTTTTAGGGCAAATCAGGACTAAAATCTCTACTAGCAATCAAGAGGAACCTAGCTAACAATGATATCGTTGCACACAATACTGACACACCCTTCTTAAAATCACATCCTAGAGGAAAATTATAACTATTATTACTTTAAAAAGATACTTCCTTTCCTCCCATAGGGTACTTTTTTTTTTTAATTCTCAAATCTAGAACATCCATCAAATAATTTCTTCTCATTTTCCTAGTTTGTTGCCATGCAACATAAAGTCTGAGTCTTCATTAGCTTTCTATTTGAATCTTAAAACAATACATTTAGGAGTGAATAGTACTTCTGAAGCAATTTATACTCCCACATTTCATCTCAGGGAAGGAGTGGTCATGATTCTGCTCCTTCAGGATAAAAACTGTAACTGTCAACTTTCTGAATACTCCTGCTAGTTTATCTAAGGTGAGGGAAGACTTTTGAAAGTGGCCAAAAGGAGCACAGCACTTCGGTGCTAAAATAGAAAGGTTGCCCCCACTCCAGATCTTTGGTACTGGTAACTACAACAATCGGAATACCCACCACAGAAACATGGCACATTTTGTAATTAGAAGTGTTTGTGACTTTCCTTTTGACCATGTAAACGAAAGGGGAAATGCCGTGAGAAACCACTCTGCAACGTTCTCTCATTTCTCTTAAATTACGCATGTGCACAACCAGTTCTCCCTTTGATCCGTTCACGAGGAGAAAGAAGAGAGTTGACCAAGGTTATCGCTTTCGCTCCCCTTTTTGTGTCCTTTTCTTTTCCTTGTCCTTGCGCTCCTGCTTGGCCAATTTGTCCTTTTCCCTCTGCAGCTTGTCCTGTTCCTTCTTCCTCTGGGACTCATCTCGAAGCGAGTCTCGCTCCAGTTTTCGGGCATTGAGGACATCTTCCACATTGGTATTTCGGAACAGAACTACAATGAGTTAAGGGATTAGGGCAGAGGTCACACAGGCCCAGCTACTGCTCTCTCTCTTCATTCTTGCTGTTTACTCTATATGCTGAGTCTTGAATACTTTCTACCTATTCCTAGTTGTTTTTTTTAATCCTTGTTTATCTTTGGTCTAATGGGAAATCCTACAACTATCATTACAAAAGTTAAAAACTAACCCTCAGAATAAAAATCTATTTCAGCCCTAGCCGGTTTGGCTCAGTGGATAGAGTGTCGGCCTGTGGACTGAAGGGTCCTGGGTTCGATTCCGACCAAGGGCACATGCCCGGGTTGTCGGCTCAATCTCCAGTGTGGGGCATGCAGGAGGCAGCCAATCAATGATTCTCTCTTACCATTGATGTTTCTATCTCTCTCTCCCTCTCCCTTCCTTTCTGAAATTAATAAAGAAATATATATTTTTTTAAAATCTATTTCAGACTTAAGTATTTTATGAAAATAAAATTTCATTCTAGAGTAAGTACCTATATCATTCAATGGCAGAATATTGTTGTAGTATCTATGCTAGTTTTAGTGAACAGAGTATTAATATAAATGGCAAAATTATTATGTACTTAGCACTGTTAAAATGCTTGAAGAGTAAAATAAGTTGTTTAATCTTTTTTTTTTTTAAATATATTTTATTGATTTTTTACAGAGAGGAAGGGAGAGGGATAGAGAGTTAGAAACATCGATCAGCTGCCTCCTGCACATCTCCCACTGGGGATGTGCCCGCAACCCAAGTACATGCCCTTGACCGGAATTGAACCTGGGACCTTTCAGTCCGCAGGCCGACGCTCTATCCACTGAGCCAAACCGGTTTTGGCTAAGTTGTTTAATCTTATTATATCAATTTGTTTTCCTAGATCACTAAAGCATTAATGAAACCATGTTCTATTAACCACAAACTCTGAATTTATAAAATAGTAAGTTTAGCCACAGTTAGAAAATACCCAGCCAAAAACTTTACCCTTCATTTCTTATGACTTTAAAAACACAACCTGTTACTACCAGATAAGCTCTTCTCTACTCTTTTTTTTTTTTTTTTTTTTTTTAAATATATTTTATTGAGTTTTTACAGAGAGGAAAGGAGAGAGATAGAGAGTTAGAAACATCGATGAGAGAGAAACATCGACCAGCTGCCTCCTGCACACTCCCCACTGGGGATGTGCCCGCAACCCAGGTACATGCCCCTGACCGGAATCAAACCTGGGACCTTTCAGTCCGCAGGCCGACGCTCTATCCACTGAGCCAAACCGGTTTTGGCTAAGTTGTTTAATCTTATTATATCAATTTGTTTTCCTAGATCACTAAAGCATTAATGAAACCATGTTCTATTAACCACAAACTCTGAATTTATAAAATAGTAAGTTTAGCCACAGTTAGAAAATACCCAGCCAAAAACTTTACCCTTCATTTCTTATGACTTTAAAAACACAACCTGTTACTACCAGATAAGCTCTTCTCTACTCTTAAAACATAACTTTTTCTGCCCTAACCAATGTGGATCCATGTTTAGAGTGTTGGCCCATGCACTGAAGGGTCTTGGGTTCGATTCCCAGTCAAGGACACTTAGGTTGCAGGTTCGATCCCCAGCCCTGGTGGGGGCACATGCAGGAGGCAACCAACTGATGTCTCTCTCACATCAATTTTTTCTCTCTCTCCCTCTCTCTGTCTACCCCCTACTCCTTTCCACTCTCTCTAAAAGTAATGGAGAAAATATCCACGGGTGAGGATTAACCAAAAAAACAAAACCTTTTCTGCTTCAGTGCTTTAAAGTAAATGTCTCCCTAAATTACCCAGGTCCCCCAGATAATCCACCATATTTCTCACCTTTATGAAGGGGGATTTCTAAATCCACGTTCTCTGGGAAGCTTCTCGTAAGTGATTCTGCTCTTAGGGGCTTTCCTTAGTACATATGTCTCAATCTGTCCATATCAGGTTGGGGAAAGTAGGTTAACAATTGTAATACTAATAAATAATAAAGAATAAACTCTGGCCCAGCCAATGTGGCTCAGTGGTTGAGCCTGGACCCATGCCCCAAGAGGTCACTAGTTCAATTCTTGGTCAGGGCACATGCCCGGGTTTTCGGCTCCATCCCCAGCAGGGGGCGTGCAGAAGGCAGCCGATCAATATTTCTCTCTCATCAACATTTCTGTCTCACTCTCCCTTCCTCTCTCTCTAAAAATTAATAAAAATGTATTTTATTTTTTATTTATTTATTTATTTTTAATATATTTTATTGATTTTTCACAGAGAGGAAGGGAGAGAGAGATAGAGAGAGTTAGAAACATCGATGAGAGAGAAACATCGATCAGCTGCCTCCTGCACACCTCCCACTAGGGATGTGCCCGCAACCCAGGTACATGCCCTTGACCGGAATCGAACCCGGGACCCCCCAGTCCGCAGGCCGACGCTCTATCCACTGAGCCAAACCGGTTTCGGCAATAAAAATGTATTTTAAAATAAACAAACTCTGGCCCTGGCCGGTGTGGTTCAGTTGGTTGAAGCATCGTCCCACAAACCAAAAGGTCTTGGGTTCAATTCCTGGTCATGGCAAATACATACACAGGTTATGGGTTCAATCCCAGGTTGGGGCACATACAGGAGGCACCTGGTCAATGTTTCTCTCTCACTCAATGTTTCTTTCCCTCCCTTCCTCTCTCTCTAAAATCAATAAAAACATACCCACGGGTGAGGATTAAAAAAAAGAATAAACTCTGTGTTTTGAGTACTCACAACTGTAAACCTACTTTTTCCCACCTCACCTCTGTGTTTTTAGCTGGTGTTTGTGCTCTCTTACCAACAAATAAGGTCTTTGAGGACAAAGACCAAAACTCCAATATTATTTTAACTGCTTCCACAGTGCTGGGAAACCAGGGCTGTATCCAGAGAGTACAGATTCTGATTTTCCCTTAGAAATCTTTCCTCTAAGCTAACCCCTCACAGTACATGTTAACATGTCTTCTTTGGGGCAAGTTCTTGCTAAATTGACCACGTAGGGCTGTACTAGAAATGGGGCTCACAATGCTGGCCTGACATGAGAGCCCCAGCAATGACAGCAAAATAAAAACTGACCCTCAAGAGGATTCTGTGGAGAAGCACATGGGGATGGACACAGAGAAGGATACATTTATCAGAACCAATGTTCATTGTGGTGGCACTTGAATCATCCTTCTCATCTGCTTCGGTAAGTGATGTTAAGGAAAATCAGATGGAAAACAAAGGTTAGCGCATCCCAACCCAACGTAAGAAAACATTCAATAAACTGATGGGTAGGAAAGGCACAATGAATGGAAGGACACTGTCAGGGATGTGGTGGTAACCCAGGAGCGTCATCTTTAAAAGTCTCAACTTAGGGAAGATTGTTCAGAGCTTCCATAAGATCCTTATCTCTTGGAGGCTGAAGAGAAACTTACGCTGGTGGGTGGACTGCCACAGCACCTGGAAGCCAGGGGATGAAGAGATGGCCTCTAAAACAGTGGTTCTCAAAGTGTGGTTCCCAGAACTCCCTGGAAACTTGGTAGAAATGCACATTCTTGGGCCTGATTCTGGATCTACTAACTAAGTCAGAAAATCTGGTAAATAGAGCCCAGTAATCTGCGTTTTAACAGGTCCCCCAGAAAACCATTGCTTAAAGCACTCTCTTACAGCCCAAGAAATGAGATTTTGTAACTGGAACCATAGCTCTGCCAACCTAGCAAAAAAAATCATGAGGAGAAACTAGAAGAGAAGCTGACCCAAAAGAGCCTAGGAATTTTTTCCTAAACTCATGATTAGGCGGCTGACATTTCTGGTATGATATCCATTCCATTCAAGAGGGCTCAGGAAGCTTAAGCTTTGCCTAAACAAATGTCAGTCACAGGGAACACAGCCTGCTCCTGCCAGCAACACTGTCTTTTCACGCAGTGTCCACTCCAATTCCAGGTCTCTCCTGGTGTTACTCGGGGCTCAGTCTCGCTTTTAACTATGTGGTCCCTGGGCTTCAAGTGAAACTGGTCCAAATTTGGGAATCCTTTACCCCAAAATACCCAGGTTCCAGTCCTGGTTTTACCACTAACTACATGAATGTCTCTGATCACCCATCCATTTGTTGGGCATCACTTTCCTTATCAACTGTGAAAGAAATAAAGACTATAAAGGAACGTGTAACTTTCTGTGCAGTAAGTTACATGGTACTGCACAGGAAAGTAAAGAACCACAGCTATATCTTATTTTCTAACATAAATGGCCTATTTACTAAGGCATTATTTGTTTCACACTGAGGTTTTCAGAAACATACTTAACTATGTTATAAAAAATGTAAGTCTGGTGTCAGCTACTCCAACTTCATTCCTCACACCCACAAAAGGCCACAGATCACTGCCATTTTAGAGAAAATTAAGCTACAGAGGGGGATTGGCAGCCTCCCAAAGCTCATAATAAACCAGCAAACGCTTCTGGCTTGAGCCACAGGAAATGGTGCTGAGACTCCACAAAGGATATTCTTCTTCATCTGTCACATCAGCATACTGGGCCAGGAGGGCAGCTTTTCTCTGCTTCTCCTCTTCTGACACCATCCTGGGCTTCACCACAATCTGCGCCTGTTTCTCAATTAGGGTAGCAATGGCCTGTACCTCATCTGGGAGGTGGTGGAAGGGGAGAGAGGGACAACAAGGTTGTATGTGAGAAAAAACAAGCTCACCGAACCACTAGTCCACCCAGGTAGTGCTTGGAGTAAAGGCCATGGCATCTGCTGACTCCTGAGAGCCCTGGGGTTCAAAGGAGGTGCCGATGAGGAAGGCAAGGGAAGGCCACGCAGGCCAGGCTTTAGGTCTCGTATCTGTCTTCAATCAGAGCAGCCCTGCTTTTACTTGTTTTCTATATTGAAGTTCCACTGCTTTAAAAAAAAAAGAGGTTGAAAAGCACTACATTAAAACCATAGGAAATTAAGCCTCTAAACATGCATCTTTCTCCCCTCTCAACCCAGAAACCTCAGAAGGAATCTACAATCAACTTACGCTGCTCCCTTTCATGACGATAATCATACCAGGTGAAGTTCTTGGATTATTTTAAAAGAAAATCAACTATTATGTTCTCCATTCTCAAAGAAGGAGGCAATAGTGTCAAGTAGTGGTTCTCATGCTTGGCTGCATATTAGAATCATCTGGGTGGAACTGGAGAGCATTATGCTAAGTGAAATAAGCCAGTCGGAGAAAGATAAATATCACATGATCTCACTCCTATGTGGGATAGAATGATCAACATAAACTGATGAACAAAAATAGGTCCGAAGACAAATGGCAGAGGAGGTGGGGGGCTTAGAGATCAACCAAAGGACTTGTACGCATGCGTATTAGCATAACCAATGGACACAGACCCTGGGTGGTGGGGGCTTGCCCTTGGGGTGGGAATGGCTGGGGAGGGGGTTAGTCGGGGAAAAAGGAGACATATGTAAAACTTCAGGCAATTTAAAAAAAAAAGAATCATCTGGGGAAGCTTTTAAAAAATACCAACACCTGGGACTTAAAGCCAAAGATGTTTATGTAACTGGTTCATGGTGTGGAGCAGGCACTAGCATTTTTTAAAAAATATATATTTTATTGATTTTTTACAGAGAGGAAGGGAGAGGGATAGAGAGTTAAAAACATCGATGAGAGAGAAGCATCGATCAGCTGCCTCCTGCACACTCCCTACTGGCAATGTGCCTGCAACCAAGGTACATGCCCTTGACCGGAATTGAACCTGGGACCCTTCAGTCCCCAGGCCAACTATCCAGTAAGCCAAACCGGCTAGGGTGGCACTAGCATTTTTAAAAGTAAATAAAGTAATGCTAAAATACAGCAAAGACTGAGAACTACTAGTGTAGATAGTTTAGAATAGATTCTTTTAAGTTTGGCTTTAATTATTTGAGTTTTCTGCATCCTAATGCTGAGTAAATTCACTCACTTCTTTTTCATTTTAAAGGGTTAAGGGTTTAGCTGAATAAAGCAAAAGACCAATCACAATTTGTGTTATGAAATGAGAATATAAAAAAGATGATCCTGTGTCTGCAATGCAAATCTACAAGGGGCAGTGGAAAGAGGGTTAAAAAGAAAAAAGAATAAATCACAATGAAGATAATTGTGGTCAGCTGAAGTGAAAAAGTAGCAAAGGGAAAAAACCAATTTCAGTTAAAAAGTTAAAGCTGTTTGCCAGGTTAAACTACCTTAGGGAAAATGAGTATTCAATGGAGAAAACTGAAAACTCTCCCTGACAGCAAAGGTTATTGGAAAACACAATGCAAGCTAGACATCAGAACTACCTTCTTTTTTCACTTTGGTGACAACTTTCTGAGTTTCTGACCATCGTTCCACAATCTCCTTGCATATGTTAAGAAGGGAATCTTCTTCCTGGTTGGAAAAGAAGATCAATTAATTAATTTCCTAGGGTCCCCTCAACCTGAACAAAGCCTATGCAGAGAGCATAGCTGGTGATGAGAAGAAACCAGGAAGAGGGTTTGGGAGCCACACAACAGAGAGTACGTTTCCCTCCGAGGCTCTGGACGCAGAAGTAATCCTGTGTGCGAGTCCCAGAATCCACACCTGCTGGGTCAAAAGCACCCACTCCATCCTGACAAGATCCAGAGGAAAGAATTCCCACAACTCAGGGCAGTCTTCCTCATTCTTTTGGAGCAACAACCTGTTCCCTACGTCAAAGCCCTTCTCCTCTGTGAACTCTTCTTTGGCCGATATACTCAACTCAGTATGTTCTTCAAGGTTTATCACCTTCATGTCAAGAGACTATTAATTGTCTAAGGCAAATTCATGCCTGTCTTAATCAGCAGACATACAGCTCCAAATAATGACACCATGAAAAAAAGAGGTCAAGGAGTTGGTACCAATGGGTACCCAAGTTACATCAACTTCTTTTTCATGGAGTATTAGAAACTTCCCAGCTGGAAATAAAAACTAACTTGAATTGCTTACCTCCTACTCTTTCCCTCTACAACCTATAATGTCAGGGCCCAAGAAAAGAATTTATTGTGCTGTGTTGTATTTCCACTGACCTTATGAGCTGCATCACAAGTTGTGTTAAGACTTTCCCAAAAATAAGTAAGCCGGTCTCACCAGACCATGCGCTGGGGGCACTAGCCAGGATGTTCTGGGACAGCTGCATTAGTGTTATTTTGCAACCACGTACCTGATTAATACGTTACCCTTTCACCACGTGTTAGTGGAGATGAAGGCAACAGAAATGAGGAAAAGCAGACAATTTGGTAACTGACTACTGAAACACAGCTTAAAGCACACATTTCTGAATTTTTGAATCTGTCTCTGAGAGGCTACTAGTAAGTGTCAAGTTTATCTTTCTTTTTTAAAACTCTGATCTTTTATTCCAACTCCAACTCACTCCCCCCACCCCCACCCCACCACACCCCCAAACACAACAATGACTATTGCATTTGTAAATACTACAAAGGGTAAAGCACAATATTTGCTTCAGTTCTGCCTGGGCATGAAAGACCTCTACCCCCAAAATAGGAACCGAAAGAGGCCTTTGTCAGGGGCCAGTGCTGGGCACTTGCCTCTTAAAGGACAGACACACACCCAGAGCACTTTACTCCCCGCTCCGCACGCTGCCAACGGGTGGGAATGACACTGGTCGTTAGGTGTTTATGGTAAAACTCCGATTTAGACATTTCAACACCTTCCGAATACTCACCCACGGGCATCCGACAGAGCCTTGTCCCCAGGAATAAGGGAAAGCCATTCGTCTAAGGACCTATAACCTTCCTGGTTCCCCAAACCCTGGAGAGGGGGTCACCCCCTTCCCCATGGCCCGGAACTCCAGAAGAGCAGTCCTCTCCCAGGTAAGACCCACCAATCCTCTGGGACTCTGGGTGGGGAACGGGACACAAAGTCCTAACGGGGGCTGGCCAGCAATGAGTGGGGCTTCTCACCAGGAAAGCAGAGAGAATGCCCTGCAGAGCGTCCAGCTTCTCTTCCTCCTCCTCCTCCTGCAGGACACCCAGGATGTAGGCGCCGTAAACAGCTCGGTCCGCTCCCAGCGCCTCCAACCGTCCATCCAGCCAGGATCCGAAACAGCTGCCCTCGCCACTGCCTTCGCCGGAGGCAGGTGCGTCCACTTCACTGGGCGCCGCCATCTTGGGGTCGGGGTCCTGCCAATCCCTAGGGCGCCTACCGCAGTGCCTGACGGGCCGCGCCGCGGGCGCACTGCGCATGCTCACAAAGGAAACTCGCTCCTGCACGCGGAGCGTAGAACCCATAGTGAGTTCTAGTCCATAGTGACTCGCCTTGGCGTTTGGTAACTTCGGAATAGAGCGCACGTTGGCCAACAGTGTCAGGTCGTGTCTCTGGAACCCCGGCAGGCGGGTGTTCTTAGCAGATCTTTTTACAGTTGGGGAAGTTCAAGGAGATTCAGTCACTTGGCCAAAGTCAAGCAGCTAATAACAGGACTGGAACTCCACTTCGATTCCAGCGCTTCGGCCCACCTCCCACTCCCACTCAGCTTTCAAGCTGCTGCCCTAACAAGACTCAGGTTTCAGGAAACCTTCCTGATTCCGTGCCGCCTGTTTTAAGACCACGCCTGTGTGTGGCGATTGCTTCTCTGCACTTAACATGCTGTATTTAACGCAGAGCCCGACCTATAGGGGGTGCTCGATAAATGGACAGGCAACCTCAAGTCATTTCTTTCAGTCATTCAACACTTTATCCTTTGCCAGACACTGTGCTGAGAGCTTCTGATGCATTGTCTCTTGTAATCCTTCCAGCAACCCTGAGGAGATGCTTTCATCGTCCACTAATTGAAGATAAGGCAACTGGGACACAGAGTCACAACCACAGGGAACCTCACCAGAGACCAGAGCTCGAGAACAGCAGCCAGAGCCCCGCTGGCTCTGCGAAACACCTGGCTCTGGGCTGAAATGAATTACCCAAGAACCTGAGTTGGCTTTCCCTGAACTACTGGCAGGTCACTGACCTGACTCCTTCATTCACTCAATATTTATTGATTACCCGCAGCATGTCATTGCTCTTAGGCACTGAAAAGATAAAAATGAATGTCACAAAATCTCTGCTCTCAAAGGATCTCTAATCCAATGGAAATAGACATGTTTAAACTAATAATGACAATATAGGGAGATAAATGTGTTAATGGAGCTTTTTCTAATGATGGTTGTGGTATGATGTCTAGGAGATTAGGTTAAATTTGCCTGTTGGAGTTGGGTTGAACGCTGTGAAAGTAGGGGATCCAGAAAGGCTTGCTAGTGGAGATGACTTACACTTTTTGAAGAATAAGAATTCTTTAGACAAAAAGACTGGAATAGAAGAGAAACAGATCCATATACAGGGGTCATGCAAGAGGCAGCTAATCAATGATTCTCTGTCATCATTGATGGTTCTATCTCTCCCTCTCCCTTCCTCTCTGAAATTAATAAAAAAAAATATATTTTTAAATGTTAGAAGAACATTCTGATTGTGCATGAAGAATGGATTATATTGGGGAGAGATAGGAAGCTACTCAAGAATAGAAGTAATGTTAGAAATTGACCCAGTACTTTGGACAAGAAATTATAGTGGCCTGGACTAGGGTAGTAGCAGTGGTCTAAAGATGTACTTTGGAGTTGGTAGAACTTGTTTTTAGAGTGGGGGTGGGGATAAGGGAAAGTACTGAAAGATAACTTCTAGGTTTGGGTTTGAGCAACTAAGGAACATTTACAGAGATGGGGAAGACTGGGAGGGGGGGCCGTGGGGAAAATGTTCTGTTTTGAACATGTTAAGAATGAGATGCCTATTAGATATCCACGGGGAAATGTCCAATAGGCACTTGAATATATAAGTCTAGAGATCAGGGGGGAGGTCAGAACTTGGGATAGAAATTCTGCAGGTACTAGCATAGGGCTGAATTATAAAGCCATGGAGTCGCATGAGGTCATTTAGACAGTGTTAATAGGGAAGAGAAGAGGACCCAGGGCTAAGGCTAAGGGTAAATAAAGCCTTGGCTACTCCAACATTTATAGGCAAAACAGTACCTTTGGATCCAGCAATGGAAATTGAGGAGGAGCCATTGAAGTAAGGTGGAAAAGGTAGAAATGGAAGCAAAAAGAAGAAAATGTTCAAGGAGGAAGAGGAGTCTGTTTTAGTGTTCTAAACGTCGGATAGGATGAGAATACCAAAACAACCATAGAATTTGGGACCATGGAAGTCCCAGTTGACCTGCGTAAGTATAGTTTTATAGGAGAGGTGAGGATCAAAGTCTAATTTGATGAGTTGTGGAAAAGATGGGAGGTGAGAAATGGAGACACCTCTTCTGAGAAACTTTTGGTTGGATGGGTAAGTAGAGAAAGGGAAGGGGTCAAAGATGTGAAGATGAGAAATCTTCATTTAAGTTAAATGAAGTGGTTCTCAACCTTCCTAGTGCCGCGACCCTTTAGTACAGTTCCTCATGTGGTGGCGACCCCCAACCATAGAATTATGTTCGTTGCTACTTCGTCACTGTGATGTTGCTGCTGTTATGAATCGTCATGTAAGTATCTGATGGGCAGGGTGTATTTTCATCGTTCGTGACCCACAGGTTAATAAGCTGTACATGCTCAGGCTCCTCTTATTATTCATCATCCAAGTCCTAGGGGTTTCAAAGTAGCTTGGGTGAAGAAGCGAGCTGGGCCCAGCTTGCTGGCTGTGAAGGCTCAGAATATCTCCAGCCGATGAACAGACCAGAGAGAAAGCGGAAGAAAAAACGAAGGGCGCTGGGAAGAATGTTGTCCTCCCAGGGCCACCGTAGGGCAGTCTCAGCGCTATTACATCGTTGTAGGGGCGGAGTCGGGAGGAAATTTAAAACGAAGCGGCGGCGGAGGCACCGGGAGGGTGGTACCTGCTGTGGTCGCAGGCCCGGCTCGGCTCCGGGGCTGGGATGAGCCCATGGGGTCCGCGGTGGTAATAGAGCGGCCTTGAAGGAGGAGCACGGAGGCCGAGAAAAGCCGGATATTTGGGGGAACCGGGAAAGGGGTACGCATGCCGGGTAGGAGAGAAGGGGTAAGAAGGAAAGCAAAAAGGGGTCAAAAGAGTTGTAGAGGGGCCCCCCAGCGTGGTCCCGTGGCTGCTGAGCGTCCAGCTACGAAGCAGGAGGTCACCGTTTATTCCTGGCCAGGGCACATGCCCGGGTTGTGGGCTTGGTCCCCAGTAGGGGGCGTGCAGGAGGCAGCCGATGGATGGTTCTCATCACTGATGTTTCTCTCTCTCCCTCTCCTTTCCTCTCTGAAATCAATTTTTAAAAATGTATTTTTTAAAAGAGTTGTAGAGAGGATAACGGGTCGGAAAGTGGAGCGGAGAGATGCAGAAGCTGGGGAGGGTAGTGGGCCAGGAGGGGCCACAGGAGTTGAGTGGACAGAGCTCTACAGGGGACGGAGGAACCGAGGTCACCATTGCCTGGACGGTGTCTCCGGAGTTGAGATGGGATGTGGGTAGGGATGGAGTTGAGCTTGCTATTCCTGGTACCCGCTTTGGGGATTGTGCGGGGTTTGGGAGGTGAGGTGGGGGTGGGGGGAGGGGTGGTGGAAGGTCGTAGGCTAGTGAAGGTGGTTCAGCTGGGGTTTTTTGTTTGTTTTTAAACATTTTTATTGATTTATTTTATTATTATTTTTTTTAGAACGAAAGGAAGGGAGAGGGTGAAAAAAAGGAAACATCAATGTGAGCGGAAGGAACATCGATGGGCTGCCTCCTGCACGCCCCCTACCGGGAATCGAGCCCGCAACCTGGTGTGGGCCCTGACTGCGAATCACCGGCGACCTCTCTGTGCACCAAAGGACACCCAGCCTACTGAGCCACACAGGCCAGGGCTGCTTCAGCTGTTTTGTCCTTCGTTTTCAGGGACCATTGCCTTGAGCTGGAGAGTTCAATGGCTGACAGTAGGCTCTGGGCTCCGGACCTAGGTAGGTAACAGGTCAAAACTAGGGATGCAAGGTCAAATATGCTCCTCCTGCCCCAGAGGCTCTTGGGAGGAAAAGGTCGAGAGATGTTAGCCCTGTTGGGTTTTTTTTAATTATTAGTGGTTTGTGTGTAAGTGTTGTATGTGTTCATGGATGTCATGGATCATTTAGGAATTCACGGTAGAGGTCAAACAAAAGCTTTTAGTCTGATACTATAAACAAGATTGGCAGACAGATGGGGAGTCCTGGTTGAACAACCATGCATATTTAAACCCATAGTCACGGTTATTTTTACCATAAAGTATTAAGTTTATCTTAAACACACACACACACACACCCCCCCCACACACACACACACACTCAGTTATTTAACTATTTTAGCACCTAGTCACTTCCCTCCTACTCTCCTCCCCTCTCTTTTAGTATCGTCTAGTTTTAGTGCTGGAATGTGACAGATATGCTGTTCGGTTTCTGCCTTTTAAACACTAATACACCACACAGAGGCTGTCGGTGAGAGCTGCTCAACTTACAGGACTCTCTCATCTCCAGCTTCTCACTTTGTTCTTCTTTGTTGTTGTTTCCTAGGGGCTCAGCTGGGAGTTTCCGGTTGTCTGAAAAAACGCCAGAAGAGCTCCCCAGATGCTAGGAGGCAGCAGCCCTTTTCTGGAAAGTCCTTTTACTTGGATCTGCCTGCTGGCAAGACTCTCCAGTTTTTGACCGAGGCAATCCAGCAGCTGGGTGGGGTATGTAAAGTGCTTCTCGCCTGTGATCCCCGGGCTGTAGGGCAGGAGCTGGAGAAGGATTATACCTGTCTTCCAGGTGTTTTCAGCGGTATTGCTACATTTTTCCAAAGCAATTTTCAGTATAAGCCACTTTTAAAAATAAAGTTAATTTTTTTCCCCTAATTAGAAGAAAAACAATATCTGCTCATTCTAGAAATGTTAGAGAACATGGAACTGCTGCAAGTGACAACCATCATTTTGATGTATTTGTTTTTTCCTGGAGTTTTTTTCCCTTTCTTTCATTTTCTTTCACAGCTTTATTGAGATACAGTTCACCCATTTGAAGTGAATAATTCAGTGGGGTTTTTTGTATAGTCACAGAGATGGCCAAGTGTGATTAGACAGTCAGTTTCAGAATATTTTCATCACCCTAAGAAAGAAACTACGGCCCATGTCAGTCTCCCCATTTCCTCTCGATACCCCCAGCCCTGGGCAACCTTTTATCTACTTCTGTAGTCTACCCTTAAAAAAA